TTTTCTTTGGTAGTGTTCTGAATGTCCCAGTTCTTGACTGTCAGACTTGTAGGTTGAGAAGCTCTGAGGCTGCCTGCTGATCCATATCATCTGAGATCTGAGTCTATTTAATGAATCTCAAATTGAGCATCCCAAAGCAGAAACACTCTGACTCATTCATCACTGTGAGAGATCTTGGCCTAACCATGTCAAGGAAGAACAATAGTTCCCTAGTAGAAGAGAAACATGACAATGTATTTCCAGTGACAGTCATGATATTATTGGTCACTGACATTTATTTATCAAAGAAATGCCCTTGTTCCACTTTGAGGTGTGGATCACCATGACTTTAGTACCTTGTGTGTCTGTGTGTTCATTTGTATTTTAGACTAATGTTTGATGACATGTCCTTCAAAGGTCTCTTTAAAAATCCAAGTATTGGTCTAATAAGATTAAGACTTCACCAAAACACATCGTATATGTGATAGAATATTTACACTGATATTCTGCCACACTGCTGCACAGCAGAATATTAGTGTAAAAATGCTGTTGGTGCCAATAGACTTTGCATTCATTGATGAAAGTTTTAGCTTGTGAGTTTTAAGAAGGTTTTTTTTTTTATAAAACTAAAAGATGTTGTAGAAAAGAAATGTGGAACATTTTGGAGAAGGGTGCAGTGCTATGCATAATTTATTGGGCACTGTTTGTACAGTCAATTGTTAAGTTATAAATAAAGTATAGCCTTAAAACAAAGATTAGAGGGTGAAACTGTGGGTAGTTGTTTCCTTTGTATTTCTATTAAAAAAAAGGAAAGGTTTCCAAGTTTGTTCAAACAGTCACATTTTGGTTTGGTTATTGATATTCCCAGTGTTGTGCCTATTTTTGGATGTATCACACTGAAGACTTTCTTCTCTGCTATGCAGAGTGCCTTTTCCTCCAGTAAATCTTCTGCAGGCTGCAGGACTGTTCTTCAAGCTCGGTGAGGTGCCCAGGCACAGCCAAGGGGAAACCACAGGGAGGCAAATGAGGCTGTCATACTGAATTTCCAGGTCCCAGAGCTACTAAAGAACAGCTTGACTTTCCTCATCGACAGAAGGTTCCTCGGTGACTGTTCCAGTTTGGCACCTACCATCGTGGTAGTTTCCCCCATCCCATCTGAACCTCGGCTCCCATTTCTTTTAGGTGGAGGGCACCAAGGACTGGCACAGAGACCAGCTCCACAGCCTGCCCCAGATGGATGCTTTCTGCCAACACAGAAGTCCCTTGAACTGGGGAAATGCTGAAACCATTTAAGATCATTAAAAAAGTAGTTTAGTGGATTTAAGAATACAGTCCCTATACTTTTCAGAATAATTTATTGTAGGTCTGCATTGGTGCTCAGAAAGAGGTGAGAAAGAGTTTTTTCCTGGGAGCCTCTGAGCAGGGTTTTTATCTGTGGTGGAGGTATTTCCTCCATGTGAGTGGGAATAGCACAGGGTGGGCCTGATGGAACAACAGGGGTAAAATATCGCATTTTATTCTAGCTCATGGGCTATGCATCCCTTGCAGGTACTGCAGAGCAGTGTGAGGTGCCTGGTTTGAAATCTCTCAGTTCTCCTACAAGTGGTACTGATGCAGAGCTGCGATGCTGATCAAAAACATTCTGGCTGCTGAGGGGGAAATACATGACCAATTTGAACTTAGGAGGGAAACATTTCCTAGAACTGAGCCTGAATAAATTCTGGAACAGTTGAACAGGAAATAAGCTAATAATGGGGTTTTACAGTACGCATTTCCCATATAAGGCACTGAAATGTAGCATGGCTTTGTTTGCTGAACTTATGGCTATTTTGGTGAAAATTTTACGTTTCTTCACTGGTCATGCTCCACTACGACTGTGAGCACTTTGCTCCATTCCAGGCTGAAGCGTTTCATCTTGCTGCTGTCATTGGTGGTCCCTGGATGGACCATTCCTAGACCAGACCAGGGAAGAGACTAGTTAACAGTTCCTCCTTGCTGACTTTTGTTGGTGTCAGGGAACTATTTCCTTTAGCCCTTGAGACTGATGCATAGGAAGGGGAAGAGAGGTGGGGAGTGCCTGTCTCGGTGCAGTTCATGCTTCTGAAAATAAGTTCCCCAAAATCTGATGTGGGGAAAGGAAGCCCTGGCTCCACAGAGCCTGCTGTCTCCCTCAATAAACAAAGGACTGGATTTGGGCAAGTTGCCCAAAGTGTTGGTGCAGGGTGCATTCCCATCCGTACTGCTCTGCCTGGCCTTTTAAGGATATGGGACAGTATGCTGGAGACCACAGTAAGGTGTGTAATTCAGCGATGATTAATGAGCACAAGGCTCTTCTGCAGCCTCCGTGTTTCTGTAGCATTGGTGAAATTCGCTTCTCACGAGTAACTCACTATGATTCTCAGAGTTTAGCCTCTTCTGAACTGTGAGAGCAATCTCTTGCTAGCTCTTCTGCTACATTAATTTAGAGCCATCTACCTTTCCGAATGTGCTCTGTGTTGTGGAACAGGTTTTGCTGGTAAATGCGAGGCCAGATGTTCGGAAGAGGAGAGCTCCCGTTTAGGCATCTAGCAATTACTGCTGTGACACATACCGATCGCAGCTGAAAATCTGAAATCTGTCTGCTTAGACAATAAAATACTCAGGCTGGCTAGTTTGTGCAGTGCTATAAGAAGTGGCCTATATACATATAATTCAGGAGTTCTTTCAAAATCCACTGAATCGTGGTCTCACTCAGTTTTAAACCACAGCTTGCACCTAACTAGTTATTTTGATTTCTTGCCAAGCAGGGGCTCATTTTTCAGTTACAACTAATGTTTTCCTATTCTTTTTCTGCAAAATCTGTTAATGAAGGCTAAATGAAACAATGAAGGTGGGCCTACTGGCTAGATAAGAAATAGGTCTGATTCATTAATAAATATTTCTTTTTTTTTTTAGTGACATATTCGATGCCATGTTCCCCGTCACACATATTGCAGGAGAAACAGTCATACAACAGGGTAATTCTTCCTCTCATTTTTTCCCCTTGTATGTTTGCTAAGGTTGTACAATTCGTATCTCTGCATTTGAGATTTCACCCTCTTTGCTTAAAGGGAAGAATAACCATATTTCGAAAGCATGCAAGTGTGCAGCTATATTATAAGTTCATGGATGCAGGTCTTTTGGTGCATAGAATGATAGAATATGTGCAGAGGTCTCCTACAAAGCCACACTGGTAGATCTCCAGGATTTCAAAGTAATACGGTTAAATGTAGAAAAACAGCATTTCAAATTAAAATGTTCATTCCTTGAAGATAGTCAGCTCAGAATGTTTAAAGGTGGCACAGGCTAGCTGTGAGTAACTAGAGATGGAAAATATTTTTATGGTTGTTGGGACTATTCAACACCTCATTGTGCTGTATCGTAGTTATCGCACTTGGCAACTTACCTGCATGCCTGCAGCATGTTGTGGAGGACTTCATTACCCTCAGGCTATATTAAAGCCTCTTGTGTGTTTACACGGAATGAAGTGTTGAATCAATCAAATGAGATAAATTAATGCAATTGAAAGATATTAATAGGAAGAAATCGTAGCGATATTTTGATTTATGAAGGCAAATAGGCAAGGATGTTTCAGAAAATGAATCTCTCTGTAAGTAATCTGGTGTACAAACCTGTGCAAATACGTACAGGATTAAATATGGAGACAGGAAATTATTGAATAGTTTAGCAAACCTTCAGGAAACAATCACCTTTTGTATTTTGCTTCCAGGTGATGAAGGAGACAACTTCTATGTGATTGACCAAGGCGAGGTGGATGTAAGTACACTCTTACAATGTAATATTTATTTTGAAGCTACATAATAAAATTGTATGCTCTGGCACACAGCTTGATCCAGCCATGTGCTGTGGTTCTGTCTCCTTTCTTCCTGAAATACATTTCACAGGATTGGTCTCATTACTTTACTTTTGTTGTGTTAAGTCATTTGTGCATAATTTTATAATTGGCATGTTTTACATCCTAGCTTATTTGTCCATTCCAAGCAGGAAAATATGGTATCAAAACCAAGCAAATGACATTATCTGCAGAACCCTAACCACACCTGGAGGTGTGCAGTCTTTGGCAGAGCAGGCCACCATGCTGGAATGCACCCGAGGGTTCAAATCAACCATAAGGAAAATATTTTCTTTAATCAGTTCGCTTAGCTCATGTGTTGGGTTTTTTTCACCAAATTGAGATGCAGCCTGAGGCAGCGAGTTTCATCTTAGAAACCTTAATTTGCTTTTAAAATTAGGTCCAAATACACGAACAATGCAGCATATTAATAAAGCAAGGATTATTATAAGTGTAAAGTGATCTGTTAGACCACAAAATGTTTACAGGAGTATGTGGTGGTTTAATCAGCAAGTCTTTGAAAAGAAGCTTATTTCTGAACATGCCTTCCAAATTGTAATCTATTTGCCTCTTATCATTTTTATTCCGTAGGAAACTCATGTTCTGCAGTTTTGCTACAAGTTCCTCATTTGACTGAATTTTCTACACACACCTTGTGTATCCACAGCTGTGGGTAGGACAGGCTTGCTCATTAGCAACCTTGCTCTTCGGATGCCCAGATGAGTTTTGTTTGGCATATTTAAAGAAGAAAGTGATTTATTTTAAATCCGGGCAGAAGGCATACAGTTATTTTAGTGAAAGTTATTTTTTTTAGCAGTCTGTTTGTGTCAGGAGACCATCTAATTGGTATTGTTGGGAATTGAGAAACCTCACATGCTGCCTCTGCCTCTGGAAGTTACTCCTCAGGAAATCCGTCTGACTCACTGTTCCTATCAGGCATACCTCTCAATAGCAAACATTGCCACATCCACAGGGCCAGAAAATAAAAGAGCAGTATTTATAGAATAGCGCTAAAATTTAGTTTTAAAATAATTGGTTAGGGCTCGATAACGAGCTTAATGAGTTCCCTGGCTTTGAATCAGATCCACAAACATACGCAAATGCACATACTGAAGTTATAGATAAATCTTCTTTAAAAATAATTTATCCTTGCTCAAAACCTTTAGGAAAGTTTTCTTCAGTGTCTGCCTCAGGGATAGTGGCAGATCGAATGGCAGCAGCAAAACCCTTGCAAATAATTGCAAAAAAATATAATCTTCCATATGTATATATCACTCTTACAAAGCAGTGACAAAAGGGGAAAATAAATGTCCAGGGCTTAGCCAGCTTTGTGTCTGCTTGTAAAACCATTGCACAAGGTGCTTGGTGGATTTTCTGTAACTAGTGGTTGCCATTAATGGCCAAGGTGGCCACAGCTCTGCAAACATTGAGAATGACTTGTTTAGAGGACTGGTTGCTGTATTATCTGTCAGGTAAGATGACATCTTTGTTTCCTTGCCAGGTATATCCTGACATCTACTCAGAAACACCTGTACAGGTGTTACTTATGTATCAGAGATTCTCCTTGTGTTTATGGCAAGTTGAAACTCATAAATAATCTTGACCACAAATGGTCCAAGAAGAGACATGTGTCCGTATCATTTTTCATTGATCATTTTTTGAGTTCATTAAAGTCTTTTGCAGAATAATCGTATTTCCCAGAACAATTCAGGGACCTGTGAGGCTTCTGAAGTAGGATTTGGGGTAAAATTTGAAAAACTACTGCAGTGACTAAATGGCCTCAGTGCCACTGCAATGCAATGACATGTAGGCTCTTAAGCTGGATAGATGTTTTTGAGAATTTCATCCCAGACCCCTGGTTTGACAAGCTGAGCACCCGTCCTTCTTTAAGCACATGAGCAATTCAGTGGGACTCACTGTTTTGCTAAACCAAGGGCATAGTGCCCACCTTTATTTTACACTGTTGAACTTGAAGGCAGACTTTTTCTTTGTATTCCAAGTACTTTGCAGTCCTCCTGTCACTTAGGTATGATACAGGATATAAATTTTTCCTGCCTTGTCTTTGAGACTTGCAACAGCAGATTTTCTGAGCAATGAAGGAAGTAACTGGGCTTCTTTGAGTATATCGCAACTTCTCTTTGACAAACATTCTCAATCCCGACTCCCCTAGTTGCCAAAATCGGCCGATATCTGCTCAGAAAGGTTAAAATGGACAGATCCACAATAACGTCATCCTGACACTTCTCAGACACAAGTATGGACAGTTTTCTGACATGTGCTCTGGGACAATTACATCCTAGCAAGTCTTAAGAGATGTCATTTGGACTGAGCTTATTTCAGGGGCAGCCAAAGCTCCTGACCCCTCTGGGTCTTGCAAAACTCTTCTGTGACCGTCTCTCATGCTATCCCCCTCCAGCATTTTCCTTCCTCCATCCTGCTGCACCTTCCCACTGCTCTCCCCATCTCTCAGCTGGGTTCTCTCTCCTTCCTAAACCTTTCCTCTATCTTCAGCCAAAACACACACTGAATTCCTTTGCAAGATACTGTGGAAGGCACACGAAACATTTGCTCATCCAGGAGCAAGTTGCAACTGCACCCTGGTAGCTGCAGAAATGACCTACATTAACTGCCTTTGCTGGGCAGCTGCCAGGAGGTGAGCCCATTTCCCACCCCCCACCCCTGCCCCCCGAGTAAAGTCTGTACCAGGGCAGTTAGTGCAGAGTAACTGGCTCCTGTGTAAGGCAGCAGCTCCCAGATCCCATGGGTGTGCATTGTCACACCGTATATAGTGCTCCCCAGAAAAGAGTTCTTCCACTTTCTGGGCAGCAGTGTTGCAATCCTTATTGTCTGAAGAAAATCCAGACCGCTAGTAAGCAAGCCGCAGTTCATTTAAGCCTTGCCAGATACTTTTTTTGGCATGCTTCCACCATTCTCCAAGAAAAAAAAGCGACTTGGAAAGCAGACAATTGACCCCGAGACTTAAAGCCTCAAGCCATTTTCTGCCTAGTTCAGCTGGCGTTGACATATGCATGGAGCCTTTTAACCCCTGGCCAGGCTGTCTGCCTTCATCATTTCCCTGGTCTGCACAGAAGTGGCAGGTATACCAGGACTGGTGGATTCAAGGAGCAATTTACTCTGAGAACATCATGACCAATAAGCACCCAGGTTTTCCGTATACATGCAAAGATACACATAAAAGAGGTTGCAGTTGTCATCATAAAATTCCTGTTCCGTGGAAGAAAGTCATGGCAAAACTGAAGAAAAAATAATCTATCAACCAAGCAACCAAAACCAAACAGAAACCACCAACAAAGTCAGAATAACAAAATCAATGTGTGGTGTTTTGAGTTTAAAAAACTGCATCATTTAAAAGTAATTTACTGTTAGAGTTTTGGTATAGGCACTTCCTATGCCCTGTAAGAGCATCCTAATGTTTTCCCTTAAAATAATCTAAGTCAAATTAGAAGTACAATAACATATTTTAAAATATAGTAATACTTTATCCTCAACTCTTACACTTTCCTAGGGTATAAACAAGCCTTGTTAGCACAGAATAAAGTATCTGAACATTTCCTTCTGGGTATTACTGTGGACAGCAAAGAAGACTCAGTATCCTTCTGTTGTCAAGCATGCTCAGCATGGACTGTGGGCCAAGGGAGAAGGGCACAGATTTTCATATGTCAAAGAAAGGGGTTGAGAAACCAGGAAGAGGTAGGTCTTGGAGAACCTGGGGTTTTCCTCTCGTATAGTCTATACTACAAGCTAGTTATACTTTGACCAAAGCTGGCACTGGATGGGAAAGGACATTATAGTGTTATCAGTTGCAGTCTTCCTCCTTAGCACTTCAGGGTTGAGAATTGTTAACTCATGACCCAGCCCTGCAGATGGATAAAGCTTATACTAGGTAGTTGATGGCATGAGGTTTGAAGTCTTAGAGGTCAATTGTCTATCGGAAGCTTTTCTGCTCAGAGAAATGTGAATGTATGCCAAAAAGTAGCTGGCAGAGCTTAAATTATAGTTTCCAGTAAAGATGTTGAAAGAACCTGCTAAAGTATGTGTCTTGCAAAAATCTCTAATCCATATTTCTAAATATAAAAATGACTTCCTCTTTATTATTTTAATCTTATAACCTCACATTTTTTACTTTAAAAAGCACCATCAACTACCCTTTTGAAACAGATGTATGTTTTTTTAGACTCAACAACTTCCTATTCTATTTAATGCCACAGCAACTTTCTCTACAGCCATTCTCAGGTTTTCTTCTTGTAAAACAACAGCAGCCAAACTACAGTATGGTGAAAATCAAGATGAAAACTTTTCAGTATGTTTTCTTAAATAGGTTCTGTATTCACGGTATAAATCTATATGTGGAGCTATATATGCATATTGTGGGCAGTAGATAAAATTATCTTTTGGTTGTAGGTCAAATCTTCTTGAAACCCTTATTTGTACATACAAACTGTCTAATTTGTATATACAGCAATGAAAATTACATGGTGGTTTATGTGAGAATACTGTTGGATTTGAAAACTAGTTCTATTTTATGGTTAGATTCCATAGATTGCTCTTGGTTTGAATTCTTCCATCATTAATGATCTTTCTCATTTCAGAAGGATGCTTTTTGAAATTTGAAACAGAACATTTTAAAGTTTGGAGTTTTTAGTAAATTTTTAAGGATTCTCAAGGCAGTCTCCGAGTTTGTATATTTATATTTAAGAAAAGCAAATTCCTACTACAAATAAAGCACTGGCTTTATTTGAGAAACTACCCTTTTAAAGTTTGGAGTTTTTAGTAAATTTTTAAGGATTCTCAAGGCAGTCTCCGAGTTTGTATATTTAAGAAAAGCAAATTCCTACTGCAAATAAAGCACTGGCTTTATTTGAGAAAACTACCCACATATAAATACCCTTCATGTCTAAGGCTTGCTTATTTTTTCCAAGAATAAATAAACGTCATCTTCATTTTTGGATAACAAATATTAAGGCTTGACAAGACACAAAGCACAAATTATTACAAACAGATCCGAGGGAGAGGATTTAAGATCTAAAAGTTGCAATGCCTGGAACAAATTAGATTGTCCACATAGATCACAAAGTGGCAGCAAAAAAAAATGCTGAAAGTTGATTTGAAATCAGCAATACAAAATTAAAGTAAAGGTAAATTCACTCCAATAAAGCTCAAAGATAGATGTTCATATCCTACCCTGAAAGTAAAATGTCTACATTATTGCTTGTGATAAGGTTACTTTCTGCTTCTCTAGACAACACAGAGATGAGCAAGGCCAAGATGCATTCCTATTGCATTGAGCATTGTGTGACTCATTGCGTTTTCTCTCGCACTTAGTGCCTATGTATATCACAGCCCATGAAGAAAGGAACTGCTGATGTTCACAGGACATTTTTCCCATTTGCCTCCTAAAAAATAATGAAATGAACCCAGCTGTGTGATTTTCAAGCCCACAAAAATTGCAGTGCTCATGCTACGTGATGGAAAACAATAGAAATCTGAAGTACTTTTGATCTGTGGAAAGTAGGTCAACCTGATGGCTTGGTCATATTTGGGCATCTGCAGTTCTACGTTCCTCTTCAGCTGCATGAAAGAAGAAGGTTCCAGCTATTACAGAGCTGTGATTGGCAGCTCAAGTAATAATTAGGAATAATTCACTTCTGTGCTTGCCACTTTGGTGAGAGTTCACAAATGTCTAAAACTACCTGAGCCAATCCCTCATCCCAGCTTTTTTTCTAGGGTAAAGAAAGAGATCATCTGAACTGCTGCCATTTAACATTGGCTTTCATAAGCTCTTCTGGGCCTAAAATAGGTTTACTTCCCACACCTTACGAACATAGATACTTTCTTTTCTACTTCTTTTTTAAAAATATATTTTAAAGGGATTCATAGTGGAGCTGAACTCTCTGTTAAAGGGCAGGATGGCTTTGTAATGTGCCATCGACACGCTTTAACTTCCTCATGAAGACAACAGTTGATTGTTGACTTAGGCCTTTGCAGAGAATGAAGTGCAGTAGTTTTCCTCCTCAAAACTAACAATTCTTCTCAAGCTGTTTTCTCGTTTGGAGATTGATATTGCAAATGGCGTTTTTATTGGGGGAGTGAATGCTGGGCCCAGAGACTGTCAGATCAGTGCTTTGGTTTCACCTCAGAGTACTTTAAACCTGACACCCTTAGGGTGGAGGAATGGCGAGATGTCAAACACCTTTTGGGGAGTCTTGTCAAGGAAGACAGCAAAATTAAAGAAGTCTTACAGTAGTGTAGTCGTAGCCTCTCTATAACACCATGTAACAGTAAATGTCCATCCTTCACTTGCTCTACCTTGAGTTTTACCCCTGTAATTCCCCTCTCTGGGCTGCAGTCATGTAATGCATACTGTTTTAACAAGAAATGTCAACATATTGATTAAAAAAATATGTGTTGGAATTAATTTAGTTCCCACTTACAATTCAGACCCTTCTGCAATAACAAAACCTGTGCTTTCAACAAAAGAGTGTATAGAAATATGTGTAGCTTTGGTGTGCTGAAAAAGAGTCAAGGATGCAACCTCAGTTGACATTCAGGATGTGGTCCAAAATTGATTGGAATTATTATATTTTCCCCATCGTCCCTGAAACTTTTTACTGAGGACATGAATTACTGTACTGTAGCAAACCCTGGGTCCGTCCAGTGAAATCGCCACAGAAAGGGAGTATCCCTACATTCAAATACGCATCTGGACAATTTTGCAATGGATTAATTGAGTTTAAAATCTTCCACACATTCTTATTATGTGATAAGCCTTTCAGAATCCTAATTTTATTCTTCCATTTCTCCTGCTTGTCTCACAAAAAAAAAAGATCCAAGAGCCAGAGTATTACCTCCTTGTTTCATCAGGAAAGTGCTTGGGTTTGCCTAGCTTTTTTTAAAACTTCTTTTTTTGCTTTTATTTTTTTTCATCATGAGGAGAATCAAAAGTAGATTCAATGTTTTGTGAGATTTTCTGTCTGTAGTGAGTGTAAAAGTTTGAAAGGAAACGCTGGTTTTATTCTCTTGTGTAATATTCTCCTATGTGGCATTCATTCTGTCGTGGCAAAGAACTGAAGCTATAGCTTTTGTGAATTGAGCTCTTTCTTGGCAGTCTGCTACACCTGCCTGCTTGGGATTATTTTTACCCTTTATTTCAGCCCCTTGATCCTCAGATGCTCCAGAACACCAAGAGCCACAACATTGCCTGGAGTTCAGCAGTGATGCTGATACTGCTCCTTTTCAGCTGATACCCAAGAGCTCTCTTGATCAGCTCCATGGCCTCATCCATCTCCTACTGAACCAGGATTTCACTGACCTCAGTAGGAGCTGGATCAGATCTTAACTGAATATTGGTGTTGTGGTTTAAACCCAGCCGGTGGCAAAAACCACAACGCAGCCACTCGGTCACTCCCCCCCACCTCCCTGTGGGATGTGGTACAGAATTGGAAGGGTAAAGGTAAGGAGACTTGTGCATTGAGATAAGAACAAATTAATAATTGAAATGAAACTAAAAATGATACTACTAATAACAATAATAGTAATAACAGAATATGCAAACGGATGATACACAGTGCAGCTGCTCACCACCCGCTGATCAAGGCCCCGCCTGTTCCCAGCTAACGATCTCAGAGCAGAGTCAGTCCCAGAGATGTGATCCTGCAAGACAGAGAGAGAGCCAGCTTCCTGGCTGCCTCTCATTATATACTGAGTATGGTGTTGGATAATATGGAATATCCCATTGGCCACTGGATTTGTCGCTCTGGCTGTGCTCCCTCCCAGCTTCTCCTGCACCTGCACACTTGCATAACATGGGAAGCTGGAAATGTCTCTGGCTTAATGTAAGCATTGCTTGGCAACAACTAAAACATCAGTGTGTTATCAACATTATTCTCAGCACAAATGCAAAACCCAGCCTCATACTAGCTACTATGAAAAAAATTAACTCTAACCTAGCCAAAACCAGTAGTTTGTAATATGCCTTTGCATCATAAAATGAAGATAGAGGTAGAATTAATACTGACAGTTTGTTGAATTTTTACTCCATTTATTTCAGTCACTGTCTACTCTCATGCTCAGCTTGAACACAGCTCTAATCGATATATTTTTGAAAAACTGCTAGTCTGTTACCCAGTAATTGGTAATAGGTTATGGCCTTTTCCTTTACCATAGATTTCTGCTTAAGATGCGAATACCTGCATATTTTCTTCATATTATTTTTCTTCACAGAGCTTCCAAACAAATGAAATTCATTCTGGTTGATTTCTGCTGTTATCAGTCTGTAACAGATTGGGATATATTCTGCGCTGGGTAAATGCGTGCAGCCTTTCCTACCCTCTAAGCTCACAGACACATTATCAGAATGAAAAGGGTTTATTGTGCAGGTTTATGGCAGCAAGTCTACAAGCAAACTGCATAATACACAATCCATACCAGCCTTTGAATACACTGTTATGTCTCATGAACTGTATTGTCCACAAATAGTGAGGAAAATGCAGCCCAGTGGAAAGCACCTGCACGAGTCCCCCTTTCTCCAGTGGAGGTTTTACATGGCACTCAAGTGTCTTCTTCTCAACTTAGAAGTCATTCAGGAAGAATACTGTGATAGTGATATTGCCCCATACTGTGTTTCAAGAGGACATGTTACATAAATAGGCTGTGGGTCAAATACTGCTTTGTAAGGTCTGTAGAGCTGGTGGTAAAGACAAAGGGTAATTCTGCATATAGCTTCCCAAGTCCAAAGCACTTAGTAGTCTTCACTAAGGGAGAAAGAGATCTCCACAGTTATATTTAAATAGTTGTTGGAGGCATTAAGCTTAGGGAAGAAAAAAACGTTCCTTTTCAAAAGATGTTTCCCTGTTTTGACTGTTTTTCATTTCATGGCATGGTGCTTTTCAGCAAACCTCATTGCAGATATCAACAAATCTCCTTCCTTTCAAGTTTGACAGTGTTAATAAAAAGCCAAAGTTGTGACAGTTCTGCTTGTTGACTGTCTGAGCCTTGAACACAAGAGGGAAAACATGATGCCAGTTAGCCACGGGAGCTGAAAACTCAGAGAGTAAATACAGTCATTGTACTGAAGCAAGATGACTTGAAATTCTGTCCACAAAGCAGGTTGTTGTCCTTTTCGGGCACTGATGGTGGAAACTGTTCCACTCTTGTTTTCCTTCTGTGTCCCCAGCATTGACCATTAGAAATGAAATTACTACTAGCTTTTTAGGTTACTGGCAGTAGGAGGAAAAGTGCAACCAAGTCCCCAAACTGGTTTTGCTTCTTGTTTTGTCTTGTGCCGTGGTAGGTTTATGTCAACGGGGAGTGGGTCACCAGCATCGGAGAAGGAGGCAGCTTCGGGGAGCTGGCGTTGATCTATGGAACACCCCGGGCTGCCACGGTCAAGGCCAAGACAGATCTCAAGCTCTGGGGCATCGACAGAGACAGCTACAGACGCATTTTAATGGTAAGTTTATGGAGAAGGGCTTGTTTATGGAGTTGGTACTTTTTACTTTCTTTTGTGGCGCCAGTGCTTCTGTTCTGTGTTCAGAGCACACCGATGGTAGAAGGCTGCGCAGTCTGTGTTCCTACATAGAAGAGAGAGGACATGACAGTAACATTGAGTGACTCAATTAAGTGAACTGAAGGAAAAGGGGACTAGATTCAGCAGAAAGACGCTGAATCAGAATGCAGTTGAATAACATTATGCATAACTGTTATACATGGATGAAAACCTCAGGAGGCCTCTGTTACCCCCTCAAGCTATGCAAATCCTCTCCTTATCATGAACCTCAAAATGTCTTTCAATGCTACCCCTTGCCTACGAAGTCTTTGTCTGAACTTCAAGGCAGGCAATAGAAGGTAAATCCAGCTCCGCTAAAAAAAAAAAAAAAAAAAAAGGTCTTGATTGGACTGTACCCTCCATCTTCGTTAGGCAGCACACAGCCACACGTATCATAGGGTGGGAGGTGCAGAGTCTTTGCTAACAATTCATTGCTCTGCTCCTTTCAAACACCCTCATCTCTGCAGTAAAGCTCAACAAACCTGGGCACCTGGGGTGTGTGCTAGCTTATGGCTTTTCTGTTGGTTCTTGAGTGGTGAGTTTATAATGGAAACTTTGACAGATAAGTAACTGTAGCGATGTCGTAACTTTTTTTATGAGCTTGTTTCCTATGTCCATGCGCATATCTTCCTTCTCCATAAAAGATTCCTTCCTTTTTGATAATTAACAGACATAACCCTATGTAAAGCTTCTTTCTCAATAGGACTTGTCTCTAAAAGCTGCATTGTTTCGTTCTGATCTGAAGGAAATTACACTATGCTCTCAGAATAATAAGGGAGTGTACATTTTGAGATCATTTATATTTCCAGTGGATGTCATGGATAACAGAAAAATTAGAAAAGAATTGAGTAGATTTTACACTTAAATGATTAGTTCTTAAGCAACAGAGTGTAAGAGTGATCTTTATTTATACAGTGTGATGACTGTGGGCTGTCTGTATGAAGCATTTCTGGTTTTCACTCTGAATTTCATGGGCTGAGTTCTGTATCACATAAATGAACATCACGCTGACATCTAGGAGTGTACATCTGATGGAAATTTACAAAATATTCAGCCTGATCACTCCAAGACAAAAAGGAGGAATAACGATGAGAAGCGCCTTCTCTCTACTGGATAAGCAGGATGAATAGGTTTTGAATGCTTCCCAGAGCGGGGAAGCAGGCGGTAGGAACTGAGACCTTTCTGCAAGGTATTTCTAAAACATAGAGCAGGAGAATTTCCAAACAGATTTAAGAGGCACGCTCAACTTATTTGTCCCATGTCCTACATGGATGCAACAGAGGGGTGTCCGGGATAACTGGTGTGATGAACCTGTATGCTGCAAGGAAGAATCCAAGGTATAAAAGAGAAGGAATGTGGGAGAGAAATAAATATCAGGACAAGCCACATATTCCTTGGCTTTTTAAGCATAGCTTTTTACAGCTGCCTGTAACCCTGCTACTAAAGAATTGAAGGGACATATTCACAGGCCTCATAGCCTAGAGGCAATCTCAGTTTTAGCGCTGATGAAAATGGTGGTACCTGACATCACCCATCCCTGTGAGCTTTCAGGTTTGGTCATGTGTCCATTGCCATCCGATAGCAGTCTTCAGACGAGTATTTGATGCAGAGACAGGATTTTACTGAAAGGGTTTAAAGTCCCAAGTGGAAAAAACTGTGTTTTTAATGCCAGCTTTAGCCATGCATACAACGTGAATATTATGGATATACTTCTATTTGATTCTAGTGTAGTGCTAGGTGCTTTGCAAATTGGTTTACATATTCTCTGAACCAGTGACAGCTGTACCTTACCTAGCAAGCTCAGTTTCTGCAGTTGATGAGATCTTTAACTTAACACGGAGGTGTTTTCTCTCTCTCTCTCTCTTGTAGTTTTTATTTTTTCTTTTTTTTTCTTTTTTTTTTTTTACAGATGGGGCCATTAAAAATCGATGGTCTGTTGCATTACATTAGATACCCAGACAGTGTAGTTGTAGTATTCCCAGTACTAGATAGGAAATATTTCAGGTAGCATGGTGAATCACTTGCTGCAGGTACAGAAAATGTCCAATTTTAAGTGCTGTCCACAGTGAATGCAATTTACCCATCCAGCCTACATGAATTCTGTCATCTTTTCATTTATTTGTAGGTGCAGCATGGATAATTTCTTTGCTGTAGGTGAAATGAGACATTTGTCTGTGCGTTCGTGTGAGGGCAGGTTACAGTGGCTCTCTGCACATTTCCTCCAGCTTAAGAATTAATTACTTCATGTTTCAGTAGCTGCATTTCATACTTGAAGCTAACTCCATCATTACGTGACTGGTTTTGCTGTACTCAGTTTCAAGATGTAGTAGTAGCTGCCTTTCAAGTCCCAGAGACATGGTTTCCTGCTATATAGCCTCTAACCTCGTGTTTCTAGAAAGTTGCTGGATATTTTGGATGTAGAAAAGCTTCTGCCTTTAAATAAGAAGTAGCAATGTTTAGGATATCTTTTGAAATAGATAATTTAAGATGGTTTTAAAACTTGAAAACAAGCAGGTTTTTCTTTTATGTTCTGTTTGCAAATACTGTTGTCCAAGGGATCAATGACCTTTTTCTCCCAAAGATATGTTTTTTTTCTGTAGTCAGATAAAGCCCCTCCATAACCCGAGATAGTTTTTTCTTTTGTCTGCATTCCTTCCTGGCCATGACCAGGCTCATGTTTTCTCAGTCTAGTGTTGAAATTTTATTCAAGTTGTAAATATTTATTTGCAAATCGTGCCTTCAGATCCATACTTGCCAAAAATATTTTTTCCTGTCATGAGACACTTGACTCACTACCTCATCACTCCTTGCGGGCTCTGTTTTGGTTCTTTGCTTTGTATTTAGTAATTTCTAGTTTTTATTTCTGCTCAGTGCGGTTTTCCCCACTTACGTGTCTCATTGATCCTGACTGGTTTATGGTATGAATAAAATGCATCTCAGGAGGTTTGAAACTTTGGATTTTCCTTTTTTTGGATGGACAAAGCCTGATGCAATTGCTGGCTTTTAGTTACACTTGTCATCCATTTGTTATTTAGCCTGTCCTAACAGAAGTTTGTTAAAACAGATATATTTCTTTATATTTCATTGTCTCAGCTTAGGTATCCTGATGGCTTGAAGGTCACATTCAAGTTTGTTGTAGCAGCTGTGATGATTGTAAATGTTGGCTTTCACTGCAGTCCTTGACAAAGTGTTATACCATGAAATCCATTGTACTAGATGGATTACAAAAAAACACTTCAACATGTTCCCCCTCAGTATACTCACAAATTATCTGTCCATCTATGTGTTCCATTTATTTCATAAAATGATCTGTGCTGGGTTGCATACTTCTCATTCTGCTGCAGATTTTTTTAAGTATGTGTTCCCTGTATGCACACACAAGCACACACACATTTATGTATATATTCTATATTTATTTACTTACATTCTTCTGGGAGAGATGCAAAGGATTTTTTTTGCCATAGGATTCTCATGTAATTCAGTTGCTGAAATGTTGCTGCTTTCTTCTTTGCAATTGGGATTCAAGAGCATCATGGAGTAGGGAACATCCCAGGGTAGTACAATATTTGTATTCTAAATATAGCAAATACCACAAATACCAGAGAAGCAAATGTCTGTATCCCAACATCAGATGGATCCCCCAGACAATTCAGTTCCCAGACTGAGGAAATTTGAAGTATTAATTTCTTGTAATTTCTTCTTTAAAAAGGGTTGATTCAGGATAATTTAACTATCCTCTAGTTCCCATGGTGCAAGATACCTGGCTCTGAGAGCGGAGCTGCACGGGCTGCAATACTTTTTGCCTATTTGGCAAACTGTGCTCGCAGAAAGTGAGATGTAACATTGGGATATAAGTCATGACAAATCAAGGTTAGTCAGTTCCTAATGTTATGCCTCATTTTATTTATGCTATTTTGGCTTTGTTTTACCATCTTTTCACAGCTTTGAACCTGAGAACAAGTTTTTTAATGTGCCTTTTTCCACTCAGACAAAATAAGTCAGCAGGACTCCATGTTTCTGTAAAATGAAGGTTGCACGGTGGCCAAAACATAAAGCAAATCTGCCTGCAATCCATCCAACATCTGCACAATGTAGCACCAGGATCTTGCAGGCTATTTTGTTTTCATGGTCAATATGCATGGTGACTATTTCTTTCATGCTCCTGTGAGAATGTACACCCAAAGCATCATTCAATATCAGGTTTATGCAGGGATTAAACGGGGCTGCAGCAGTCCAAAAGGCCATTCTACTGCCTCCTGCCAGTGTAACTCTTTTAGTTGAAACTTGAGCCATGCTTTGTCTTTTGGTAGCTGTTTGTTTGGCTTCTTACTGAAGGTGGGAATTTCTCAGAAGGACACAATCAACTCCAGCCAGCCCATCTGCACACCCAAAAAAGTGGAGCAAGAAAGAAGACGTGAAGAGTCCTAGAGGGAGAAAGCAAAGAGGCGAGCAGAGGGGAAGAAAAACAGAGACCGGACTGGAGGAGTGGGAAGAAAAAATGGAAGAAAACAGGGAAGGTGAAGAATGGGCAGTTGGAAAAGAGATGCAACAGTCCTATTCAACAAGACCTCTTACAATCTCTGCGGCATCCATTTTTCCTAGCCTGTGTATTGCTTAAGTTAAGCCTAGGGTTTGCTACATTTTTAAGTGGTCCTACAACTGGCTTTGAGCTCTTTTCTGGGTATATCTGGCAAATGCAAATGGTCTCATTTCTCCTTGGGACTGTTCCAGGGAGGAGCACTGCAGTTTAAAATATTAACGAGTTTTCACAGTTAGTGGGAACCACTGTCTTTAAGAAGATGAGCTTGTGCATGACAGCTCAGAATCGGGGAGAAAGTGAACAAAGGAGAGGAGGGAGAGGGAGAAGCAGCGACTATTGAAATAAGATATTAATAGGTTAGAAAAAGGAGAATTAATAAAGACTTTTTAAAACATGCCATCAAGAACCCTGCCAGTGCAGAATTATTCATGTACATTTACTATTGTTTTTATCTGGCTCAAGCAGTAAGATTTCTACTGCTTCCCTTGGGAAACTTTTCTGCAAGAGAATAATTCTTAAGTTGGGAAAACTTTTTTGATATTCATCTTAAATTAGATTTTCTTCATTTTCTTGTATTACTTTGAGTTATGTCAAGTTATGCTGTATTAAATTGCCCTCTCTTTCTGTCATGTATCTGTAGATGATTATCACTCTCTACTTAAAACCCCTGCAACCACTCATGCTAGCTATGAGCATGACATACCTATGATCCCAGCATTGAACTGACCTGTACAGCCTAAATTTGTTTTGCTCCTTCCATATTGGCTATCCCCAAGTGTTTTATCAGTTTTTTCTGTTTGATTTGGGAGCACTTTTTTGGGAAGAGGTACCCAGGCAGAGTGTAGCGTGCCAGGTGCCATCACATCCAAGCCATGGAGCCTCTAAGCTTCATTCCTGGATGATGGCTTTGAGTATACAGACCAAAATAGCCTTGGCTGTATTCTTGCCAAGTCTGATGTTGCAAACCAGGTCTCACCTACTGTCTGTAAATCTCTTTCAGCTTTCCAGCTTTCCAGTCTTCTTCCATTCATCAAACATCTGTGCTTTGGATTTTTTTTCTTAGCATTTCTTAGCTGTATTTTCCAAACAGAAGCTCATTCTGTTATTTTCTACTCCCATTTATAATGTCTCTAGGTCCTTTTTTTGTTCTTTTCCTGTCCTGGCAAATTTTCATAGCATCTCCTAGTCTGCAGATATCGTTACTGTCTGATTTGTTGCTGCTTCTAGAAGATCTGTGAAAATATTGCATAAGAACAGACTTAGCACATGTCCCAGGGGAGGGTGCCGCTTGACGCTTCTGCAGAAACAACGTCAAGGGTGGTGGAGGAGGTTATGATGGTGTTCAGACCTGTGGCCTCAACAATTTGGATAAAGTGACTAGACCAAATAAAACAGGTCTAAAAAGGACACGAGGAGTGAGAGGTGACATTATGTGTATGGGAGGGGATGAGGGAGGAATATTAGGCTGATGGAGGAAGGTGGGAAGTAGTGGTTTGTAAGATTTCTGCTGCTGGGTTGTTTTTAGCTTGTATTAGTGTTCTCGCTTCCCCTCACTCTGCTTGTGAAAGCCTGCACGGGAAAACACACTCAGGTGAAAACAGTGTGCGTGAGGGTGAGCCAAGCTTCTCCTTTCTGGAAGAGAAATTGGGATCTGGTTCTGTCGATCAGGACAGTGTGCTCTGAAAATGCAGAGGCAGCTTCTGTGCCTGCTGGGGCACCCTAAGGTGAAGCTCTCCTGTCGGGTGGCTCGTGCTGCCCTGCAGGCTGTTGTTTGCTCCTCCAGGAGAGATGGAAGGCTGGGTGAAGCCGTTCTGCAGGATGAGTTGTGAGCCATCGGCTGGGTCAGAAATGGGACTCCTAAGCCTCAACCACTAGTTCTTCCCGTGCTCTTGTTCTCCCTTACCTTTGTGCTATCATTCTGAGATGGGGGGTAGTTGAGACAGTGAAACTCTGCAGTAAGTGGAGTCTCACTGAGGTTCTAGATACTGTCACAATACAAACAGTTATAATAGCACATTGAATTAATTCTTTCCACTTCAGTTATGGTTTCGCATTTGTCTTCACAGTGAATTCTGTACCACTGCCCTGGCTTAGTTTAGCCAAGAACCAACACTCCCATTTTCCTGTAGGAAGTGATGGGCTCTTGCTCTCCGGGCCAGGCGGCATCCTGCAATTCTTACCTTCCTGGGTCTTGTCTGCATCTCTAAATACTCGAGCTGTGATCAGGCGTCACTTATGGCTACTGATTACTGCTTCTTAAAATTCATCTGTGTCCACAAAGTCATTTAAAAAGCATTTTCCACGTCTATCCCTGGGTGCCTCAGCCCATCAAACTAAACCACCAATCTGGTTTTCCACAGCTGTCAATTTTGCTCGTCTCATTTCCACTCGATTGCAGGGAGGAAAGCAACAACTGCGCAGTGTCCAGTTTTCCATTCTTTGTCACGCAGCGAGCTGTCAGGATCTGGCGTGGTTTGCGCAGCCTCCTCTGTTTGAAGTGGGGTTTTTTTTGTTTTTTTTTTTTTTCTTTCTGGCACTTCAAATGCTGTCGGGGGCCCCTGAGGTTGGGAACCAGGTTTGTCAGACAGAGAGGTCAGACAAGGGTTACCGATGCTATCGCTGAGAGGTGAGCTGTCATCACCAGACTTGGAAATTATGAACGGGGTGCAGAGGGGGAGACCTTGGGAGCTGGTGCTGCTGCGGATCCGGAGATACCTGGGAAGGGTGGCAGCTCCTGAGGGTGCTGCAGCTGTTTCGGAGCAGGGGTGGCCCCAGGAGAGGGGTGCAAATGGGAGCTGGCCCCAGAGGAGAGCAGGCGGCAGCTTCTGCTGATGCCAAAGCCTGGTTGATGTTGGTGGAAGGATTCACGTTGCTTTGGTGGTTGTTGGGTCTGGCCCCACCTGCACAGTGCGTTTGGGAAGAGGGACGATGTTTAGTTCTTAGTTATGTCATTGCGCTTGAGTACACCAGCCATTCCCATTTTCATACTTAGGGCACTTCTGAATGCTTTCACAATGGAGAGTAAAATGTTTCTTCTCCTTTTCCTTTGTCTATCCCCACTTTCTGCCTCTGCCTCCAGCACTTACCAGTGCTCACTGGGAGAAGGAGGAACAGAGAAGTGGCTTTTTCTCTGGCAGACGTGACACCTGCTTTTGTCTCTTCTGCCCAGCCTATAAGTAAATGCCATCTTTATGTCCCCTTTCTTCAGAAGATGAATGTATCATCTTTATGCTGTACTCCTGCCTTGTAGATTTGACTAGCAGGCATCAGGCACCCTTTGACATCCACCGGGAATCTACGCAGGCAGAAATGGTGTGGGGTGTCATATACCGATGGGGAATAAACTGGACAGCACCACGGAAGACCCTGGAGTTCCTCTTTGGTCCTTGGGAAGGTTTTGTTTTCAAGTCCTTTGTGTCACTGCAGGAGGAGTTAAGGATGAATTAGGTTTTTTTGTATCGGTAAAATTGCACCATATATTTTAATACCTGAATCGCCTTCAAAAATGCATGTTGGAACGGCTACTTACGGTTTCTGCCTATGGTGATCAAACACTATGTAAGCAGAAGTTTTCTCGGTAATTTATCACACAATAAAATCTCACTAGAGTGGGAATGGCTGTGCTGGTGGCTGCGTACACATTGATGGATTATCTGCTCCAAAACGTTTAAATCTTGTTGAAGTAATATTATGAATAGGTTGCTCAGCAGTAACAACACATACAACACTATCCAGAATGTAAAAACCAGGCTTACAGATAAACGCTCTTGGCCTTAAAGAGTTTTTAACCTAAAAGGATGGGACCCATGAGGGGGACATTTTAAGTTTTATCCTACTTTGTAATTTTAAATTCCCTTGTAGCAGGGCCTCATTGGTAATAAGATATATATTGAATTAGCTAAATGGTTGATTGAGGAAGCTCTGTCTTTAAAATGAGTGCCTGTAAATAATGGATACAGTTCATCCACGGTGTCCAGTAACACCAGTGAAGTCAGTGAAATTACACCAGGATTGAATTTGATTCCTTCTGTCTTTGCTTATCAGCAATACAACTTGCCCAGACATTTTATGAGGAAACATTTGCCTTAGGCTGTTTATACTGGCTGTGCTTAAGATTTGGAAGGGGAGGGAAAAAAAAGAGAGCAGCTGTAGGAAGAAATCACAAAAATACTTTGTGTAATGTTCTACCTCCTTTTTCTCTCTCCTTTAATAACAGGGCAGCACGCTGAGGAAGCGGAAGATGTATGAAGAATTCCTGAGCAAGGTCTCCATTTTGGGTCAGTTGCCCTTTGGACTCATGTGTTAGTTCCTCTGTCATACGTGTTGGCAGAATGAATTTTGGTCTTCGATGGCACGATGAAAGCAGTGGCGGTCAAACAGAAGGTCTCACAGTTGCGTAATTTCCGAAGGAATCAAAGTGTAGAGGGCCTTTTTTAGGACTTTTTTTCTCATTCTGTAATATGCACTGA